GAAGCCTTATCAGGGTACAGTTAAGATGGCCAGCTGACAGCTGCTGCTATGCTGCTGCACCTTTGGCATGGCAGAGGAAGGAATTGGAAGACTTCTGGGGACGATAGCGGGTAATGGAAAGAGAAGACTCCAGTAGCAATGCAGGTCAGTCACTAATTCCAGTGATGTCATACGCTGTAATGTCTGTTCCGCACCCGGTAGGCAGCCTGCGGTTGTGTTGTCTCATGTCAAGGCTGCATCCAGAGGAAGGGACTGAAATCCTGCAGGGCACATTTCAAGGACTCGGGTATAAAATTAAGATTCTTGAGCACACGCTGTGTTGCACGTAACCCCATAGAAATATGCGCTTTTGTAGGGGCTGAATCCACAAGTGACCAAGCTCACATCAGTAGGTTCTGCTCCCCCGAGCTGTCCATCCCTGCTAGGGAGGGTGTGGAGAGCCCCCAAAAAGGACGTCTGCCTGTCCCACCTGCCTGACGTAGTCAGCGGGAAATCGCTGAGAAGAGTGAGGTCAGGCAGGGCCCTGGCTCTTGGCTGCAGTACCTAGAGCTGCCTTCACGTACAAGACTTGGCTACAAAACTCCCTCCTGGACTAGTGCTTGGGGTTTTTTTTTAAAAGAAAATCCATTCCCTCCTTTGCTGTTCAGCAGGGACATTTCTGTGTGTTAGTTAGCATGGTCATCGCCCAGCTTCTGTTGGCAGTTGCTCCTCTGTGCCAATTTCTCCCCATTCGCACCCAAATCTAGGCAGCTAACTCTGGGCTGTTGGCTTTGCTCGGCAGCAAGGTGCCTCAGAGCTGTGTGTTCACCACAGCCCCTGCCTCTGGTTGCAGACAGAAGCAGTTTTGGGGGTTACTCTTAGTGAAGCACCTTGAAGGTGGAAGACTTGGGAGAGTTTACACCGAGATGTTCCAGCAGTGGGGTGCAAGGGAGAAGGTACCACTGGGGTATGCAGAGGGAAGGAGAGCAGGGAGGTGGGGTATATGCATGCTAATGTGACCTACACCTTAAAAAAGAGCCCCGAGGAAAGCTGTGGAGCTCATCTGAACAGGTTTCACCTACAAAGTGCCTCTGCAAGGAGGATGCATTAGCTAGTAGGAGGCGCTGTGATCTGGGAGAGGGGGAGCATCTCAAACTGGCAGTGGATGTTAAAGCCAGGCAAATTCAAATGAGAGGCAAGGCCAAGCACGTGATTTTAATCGGTGGTTAGCCACCTGGGGAATCTACCTTGATTTGCCTATGAAGGGTAATGGTAGAGGCTCAACCTCTTTTTAGTGTGCTGTCGGCAACTAGAGGCACAGCCCCACATGAGTACCTGACTTGAGCTACAGAAATTTGCACTGTGTATTTTGCACAAGGTCAGAAAATGCGGTGCTTCTTTCTCGGCCTTAAAATCTGGGGAAGTAAGATAAATATCAGCAGGTTTGTGGCTAAGTATCTCTTTTTACCTCAGCTACAGGTACAATTTTAAGAGCTGCAGTGAGGCATAGTAAGCAGCTCCACATGTCAGCAGGTGGGCCCCGGCGGTGCCACTGCTGAGCCTGCGCTGATAAACTCAGGGCAGGAGCTGCTGGAGAGTCTGGAGAAGGGCCAGGGGGGGTTGGTGAACCAAGAAGAGAAGATGAGGAGGAGGGGCTGTTGTGCTGGGGTGAGGTTGAGGCCCAGGGAGGAGCCTTGTGGTCCCCTGGGTAGCAGGATTGTCTCTAGGCCCTGGGCTTCCTCAGGAGTGACTAGAAGAGGTTGTCTAGCCTTTGTCCCAGCCATCTTCTGTCTCAGGAGGAATCCTTTACCCCAGCAAGAATCCCGAGCAAGGGAAGCTAGGAAAAAAAGGAGGCTCCACGCTGCCCTGTCCTCTCCAGGAGACAGCAGGGGTGTTGGTGGGAAGAGGCATGGGAGGTCTGTAGACCACCCCCCTGCTGTAAGCAGGACCGTCCTGGCACTAGGTCACATCGCTGTGGCTTTCCGTAGCTGAGCCCTGAGAACCACCAAGGGTGGAGATCCCACCACCTGCTCCAGTGCTCCGCTGGCCTCCTGGTGAAAAAGCTTTTCCTGAGGGATGGCGATGCCTCCCTCCACTGGCATTTCATTAATCAGCCCCGCTTGCTGGGTTCCCCCAGCAGGAGAGAGGCAGGCCCAGCAGAGCTTAGGAAAGCGCTTGCTCCACACCATGGGGCGTTGCTCTCCCCGTTGGCCGCGCGCAGCAGCAGATCACCCTGCGGCCTGACCCTGCCTGCCTGGGCGCGACAGGAGGGGGGTGCAGACAGGCTGGGCGGGACAGGGGGG